AAAAATAGAGAGATTGTTTGGGAAACTTTACAAAATTATGAAATACTAATAAACAAGATTATAGAAAGCTCTCAAAAACTCTCCAAGAATAGTTTAGAATCTTTCATTTGCTTACTTTCTATGATTTTATTAAAGTCATCAAAATTCCATGTAAATTAGGAACCAATAACACCCCCTTACATTGTTTATTATTAAAATATGTTTTTATAAATTATGAACACATGGGCACACATTTCGAGAATTCAAATTCTCGGCTGGTTCTCAACCTTAGATCTGGTTTTTACGGTGGCTCCGGCGAGATTTGGTTGGAAGTTTTCGAAAGCTGTTTTCGGGATCTATCAAGTCCTTTGCTTCTCTTGAAAGGTTGTGGGTTTTGCTTCCTTGTCTGGAGAGTAATGTCAAGGCGAATTTCTTATGAAGAAAAAGGGAAAGGAGTGGTGGAGACCCCACGGCCGCCAAGCATTCCGCGTGTAAAGGCTCCAAGGGTAGACAACACAGCGCTGCTGAAGAAACACGCTCTGACGGTTATCGGACGGGTGACTAATCCGGCCAGCCAGCGAATCTGGGCGCTAATCCCGTTTCTTGCTGACCATTGGAAGCTCTCTTCTCGCCCGGTGGGAGCTGACCTTGGACTGGGTCTCTTCCAGCTTCAGTTTGCATCTGAGCAGGATCTACTGAAAGCGCTTGAACACCAACCGTACCACTTCTCTCAGTGGATGGTGATTCTCCAACGCTGGGAGCCAACTACCTCAAAGTCTTTCCCGTCCCAAATTACTTTTTGGATCTATGTCCAAGGCATCCTGGTTCATCTGTGGTCAGAGGAAATCCTTGAATCAATTGCAGAGAATCTTGGGCACTTGGAAAAAGCGGAAGTTACCCCTACCTATTTCAGGATGAGAGTGACGATTAATGGCCTCAAACCTTTGATTAAGAAGACTATTGTGGAGTTTGATGATGGGGGAGAAGTTATAGCGGAGCTCATTTATGACAAACTTCAAAAGCATTGCAAGGTTTGTTGCCTCTTAGACCATGAAGAGAAGGATTGTCCAGTAGTCCTCGTATTTTGGGTTCAAAGAGGAGAGAAGTTGTAACTGGCGGAACAACAAGAGAAAGAAGAGAAACCTTAGGAGAAGAGATTACAGAGAAGAGAGAAGCTATATCTCAGAGAAAGTCACTTCTCAAGATGCAAAATCCCAGCGGAGCCACCTTCGAGAAGGTCCAAGGGACAGCAGAGTGCTGGAGAGATTCCAAAAGAGTCATGATTCTAGGGATGACTACCAACGCTATAGGAGGCGAGAAGAATCTGGTAAAAGTCGTTCTCATACTCAAAGCTGCAGAAATGATTTCCCAGAAGGATTGAGAGACAGAAGGGAAGATCAGAGAAGGAGATCCCATAATTCTGGTAGTAGAGCTGGAGTAGAGTCTCTTAGAGAGCATCGCATTGAGGCTTCTGACTCTCACCATGGAGCAGATGGAATATCTAATTATCGCTCAAGGCACTTAGCAGATGAGGGGACGTCAAAGAGAGGTCAAGAAGAGCTACCCTTACCACCAGCTGAAGTAGAGGTGGCAATGGGGGAGCTTAGGGAAGTTATGATCCAGTATGCTAATTGCCCAGATCCAGCTGAGAGCGCTGCTAGAAGAGAAAGAGTTCGCTTGGCAGAAGAACAAGGTGAATTTGTCCATACGGCTGAACAAATGGTGAGAGCTTCCTTACCTTCTCAGGCTATCACCCCTGAGGTGGAGGTTGTTGAAACAGCCTCACCAATTCAAGAAAGGGTTCCAGTAGCTCATAGACTGGGACCACTGAACCCGACTGGAGGAGCAGGCAGGGGAAAGAAGAAAGTCACAGCAAAAAGAAAACCAGGAAGGCCACCAGGGAAAAAACAAAGCCCAAAAGCGCTGATGGGGATTACTTCTAAAAAGAGGAACCTTCTTGCAACTCAACCCACTCCATATAGAAGGCTAAATATGGAGAATCAAGAAGAGGGAGAGCCAAGTAGGCGCCCCAGAGTTCAAACTTCTAGCTCTGCATCTCACTCACAAGTGGATGGAGAGGATCAACGGGGAAACCAGCCAACCCTAGGGTGAATTCCCAGGGCGACTCAGCAAGACAGATGGATTTTCACAGTCCATCAAGCCGGCCCCCGTAAAGATAATTAGCTGGAACTGTCAAGGTTTGGGAAATCCCATGACAGTTCGCAGGCTAGAAGTGATGAATAAGAAGATTCATCCTGGAATAATTTTCCTTAGGAGACTAAGAATGAAGATGTGGTGGTTTCAAAGAAGTTAGAAGATCTGAAGTTTGCTCATGCTTGGTTAGTCCCCCCTCAGGGACATGGAGGCGGTAGACTAGCACTTCTTTGGAAGCCAGAAATAGAGTTGGATATTCTGAAAAGCTGCCCAAACTTCATTGATACTAAGATCAAGACAAAGGGACAGACTTTCTTTGCTTCCTTTGTTTATGGAGACCCAAGCCAGTCCTAGAGAAGACTAGTGTGGATGGAACTGGCTGAAGCTGGGCTATTGCGAGAAGATCCCTGGTTTCTCACGGGTGATTTCAACAAAATTGTTGATAATTCTGAAAAGGAAGGCGGACCCATTAGAGCAGAAGGTACTTTTGTGGATTTTCGTTCCTTTATCTCTGAATGTGACTTGTATGATCTCAAACATTCAGGGAAATCTCTTTCTTGGAGAGGCGTTAGAGGCACCCATGTGGTTAAATGCAGACTTGACATGGCAATGGGAAACAGTGCCTGGACAGAAATGTTCCCCAAAGGGAGAAGTGAATATCTTCAATTTGAAGGCTCTGACCACAGGCCTATGGTCTCCTATTTTGCTCAAGGCATAAAGCAGAAGGGTATTTTCCGGTATGATATAAGACTAAGACAATGAAGAGGTCAAGAGTCTAGTGGCAAACATTTGGTCTGAGGATGAGAGACTGAACATCCATAGAAGACTGATAAGTGTTCGGAGAGCTCTAATTCAATGGAACAAGGATCAACAAAGAAACAGCCAATTGGAGATCGAGAAGAAGAAGTATGAACTAGAGAAAGTCATGGTGAACCCAATTCACGACGAGTTGCTGCTAAGGAAAATCACAGGGGACTGAATGTTGCCTATCTTGCTGAAGAGGCGTATTGGAAGCAGAGAAGTAGACAGCATTGGCTTCAGTTGGGAGATAGAAATATTGGGTATTTCCATGCAGCTACCAAGGGTAGGAGAAGTATGAATAATTTGGTTGTGCTGGAATTTGAAGAAGGGGTTGCAGTCTATGAGGATGACCAAATTGCTGCCTTGATTGCTCAGTATTACAATAATTTGTTCACGAGTTCACCAGTGGATGAAGAAGAGATTATAACTACTGTTTCAAAGGCACTCAGACCTTGCATCTCACAGGAGTTAAACAGCTCTTTGGAGGCTATCCCATCAGCTCAAGAGATAAAGGAGTGTTTATTTGATATCAATCCAGAAAAAGCACCAGGACCGGATGGTTTTTCAGCAAGTTTCTTTCACTCAAACTAGGAGGCTGTTGGAGGTGAAATTGTTATTGAAGTACAAGAATTCTTTATTTCAGGAATTATGCCAAGGGAGTTCAATGAGACTCATGTCTGCTTGATTCCAAAAGGGCAAGGACCGAAAAAAAAACTTCTGATTATAGACCTATTGCCCTGTGCAATGTTTTCTATAAGATCATCTCCAAAATTATCACAAGAAGACTGAAGCCGGTGATCTCAAGTTTGGTGGCTGAGAACCAATCAGCATTTGTGTCAGGAAGGGCCATTTTAGACAATGTGTTGATCACACATGAGATGCTCCATTTCCTGAAGAATTCAGAAGCTAAAAAGAACTGCTCCATGGGGATAAAGACATACATGACAAAAGCCTATGATAGGCTTGAATGGACCTTTATTAGGACTATCCTCAGGTGCTTAGGGTTCGGAGAAAAGTGGATAGGGTGGATACTTCAGTGTATAACTATTGTGAGCTACTCTTTTCTCATCAATGGAACCCCTAGGGGGGACGTCCGACCTTCAAGAGGAATAAGACAGGGAGATCCCTTGTCACCTTACATCTTCATATTGTGTAGCAAAGTGCTTTCAGGACTCTGTTTAAAATCAGAAGCAGAAGGAAAAATGGTGGGTATTAGAGTGGCCAAAAAGAGTCCAAGAATCAACCATCTACTATTTGCAGACGACACGATGTTTTTCTGTAGAGCTAAAGAGAAAGACTGTAAGGAGTTCCTAAACATTTTGAGAATGTATGAGAAGGCTTTGGGGCAGCTAATCAATAAGCTCAAGTCGTCTATCTTCTTTTCTAAGAAGACCCCTGCAGAGATTAAATCAAAAGTAAAACAGTGGCTGCTTATCGAGAAAGAAGGCGGTGTGGGGAAGTATTTGGGACTGCCAGAGCTTTTTGGTAGAAAGAAGAAAGATCTTTTCACCTCAATTGTGGACAGGATAAGGCAAAGAGCTTTAAGTTGGTCTAACAGGTTTCTCTCAGGGGCTGGAAAAATAGTTTTACTGAAGAGTGTTCTTTCTACTCTCCCAAACTATGCTATGTCCTGCTTTCAGTTGCCTAAGTCATTGTGCAAAATAATCCAGTCCACTTTAACAAGGTTTTGGTGGGACTCCAGTGACCAAAAAAGGAAAATGTGCCGGATAGCGTGGGATAAGCTAACTAAGACTAAGAAAGAGGGTGGTCTGGCATTTAAAGACATCACTGCGTTCAATGAGGCATTGCTTGCTAAATTGAGTTGGAGGATAATCAATGGACCTCAGGGACTGCTTGCGAAAGTCCTAAAAGGAAAATATTTTCATTCTGTAGATTTCTTAAAAGTAAAGTATCCAGGGTCAGCTTCTCACGGCTGGAGGAGTATCCTTGATGGAAGAGACCTCTTGAAAAAGCGACTAGGATGGGTTATAGGCAATGAAATTTCAGTAAAGGCATGGAGTGAACCTTGGATGTCCTCGACAAAGCTTTTGCAACCTTGGGGTCCTATGCCTTTAGAAGGAAAAGATTTGCTGGTGAAGGACCTCTTCGAGAAGAACTCTTTGGAGTGGGATCAAGATAAAGTCAAGGCTCTCTTTCCCAACTTTGCAAAGGAAATCCTCTCAATCAAGCCTAGTAGATTTGGAGCTCCTGACAAACAGATTTGGTTGGCTTCGTCAGATGGACAGTATACTACAAAATCTGGCTATGCCATTGCTAGGGAAACTAAATGCGACTTGGAGAAGACCAAGGAGCCTGGAGACTGCAACTGGATTGATGAGGTTTGGGGTATTAAGGCCTCACCAAAGGTTAAACTGTTCTTGTGGAAGACACTTGTTGGGGCTATCCCCACGGGACTACAGCTGGTTTCAAAAGGAATGGAGTTGGACCCGCGGTGTGTGCACTGCAAAGAGCCGGAATCAATTTGTCATCTGATCTTCAACTGCTCATTTGCAAAACAAGTCTGGAAGCTGGCTCCTCTGGTGAGTTTGGAGGAAGTGCCAGTTTTCACAGAAGTTCATAAGGGTTTAAGTTGGCTCAGAGAGAAAAAGGTTTTGCCACCCACTGGGCTTGTTTTTGGCCCACTTTATCCTTGGATTTGTTGGAATATTTGGCTGGCCAGGAACCAGAGAACTTTCAGCAATAAGAGTTTATCTGCTGTAGAAATGTTACTTAAGGCCATTCTCGATGCGAGAGAATGGCAGGAGGCTCAGGATTCTATCGTCCCCAGCAGCAAGTCAGGTCGAAGTCTGGCTCAGGAGACTTACTCTTGCTTTCCTTGCAGTGCATCAGTGTCTTCGGATGCTGCTTGGAATCAGGCCTCTAATGCCGCAGGTTTAAGTTGGATCTTTGATTCGCAGAATATGAGCCTTCCTCAAAGACACTCTGCAGTGTGTGAGTTTGTGTCTTCCCCTTTAATGGCGGAATGCTTAGCCATCCGCTCAGCTTTATCTTCTGCTTTGGACTTGGGGATTCAGTTCCTTTCCCTTAAAATTGACTGTCAAGTCCTAGCTAAAGCTATCTCCTCCAAGAGTACTGTGGTTGAAGTGCATGGAGTTATCTCGGATATATTCCTTTGTATTGCCTAATTTCAAGGATTTACTTGTAGTTTTATCCCGCGGGCTGCCAATGTCGATGCAGACTCTATGGCTAAGGCATCGTTGGCTTCCTTTCTTGTAACTTTTTAGTTTTGAATGAAATCATTGTGTTGATCAAAAAAAAAATTTTGAACACATACAATAATTTATTTTTATCTTATTATATTAAGATTAACTAGTCTCTTGAGAGCTTAAACCAAAATATAAATTACGAAATTCCAAATTTTTTTGTTTAAGCAGTAAAATAATAATTTATATATTTTAAATATAAATAATTAAATAACTATTTTTTTTATATACGACAAAAACTTCGTCGCGGATAACTTGGTATAAAATGTTCGTACCAAGGAAAAAAAAGAAAGAAGACCAGACGGGTTTAATCGTCCTCAACAAACCCAAGTAGACCGGCCACTGCGTGCCGATGAACGCTTACTCTGTTTCTCTCGACTTTACCAAACCTTCTCTATTCACAAGAATCGCTCTCTCTACTCAGATTCCTCTTGCCATGGCCACCACTGTAAACAAAACAGTTCGTGTCGCAGCTGCTCAAATGACATCGGTCAATGATCTCATGACAAATTTCGCCACTTGCTCTCGTCTCGTTCAAGTAATCCTCCCAGTCTCAAGATTCATTTCCGAATTCAGTAAATCGTTAGTACTTTGACTAATTAGGTTTCGATTATAGATTTGATGTTTTGGATTCTATCATTCATCTGTCTTTATTTCAAAATTCTTCAGAAAGTTTCAATTTTTGATTTTGTAGAAATCCAAAAGTTGAAAACTTTATGAAGATTTATGATGTAACGAAAGAAGAGAATATTACTTTGAGTGATATTTAAAAGTCTCGATTTTTATTAGAAATTTTACTACTTTGTTAGTCTTTTTAATCTCTGAGATTACTAGTTCATGGAAGATTTTTGAAGCAAGGAAACAAGATTAGTACTTTCTCAAGTGATTGAAATTTGAAAGTCGCGATTTTTAGCCGAAATTTTACTACTTTGTTAGTCTTTTTAATCTCTGAGATTACTAGTTAATGAAATTTTTTGAAGTAAATGAAGAAGATTAGTACTTTCTCAAGTGATTGAAGTTTGAAAGTCTCAATTTTTATCTGAAAATTTACTACTTTGTTAGTCCTTTTAATATTTGAGTATGTGTAACTGTCCAAAAGGAAGCAGCATTGGCTGGTGCAAAGCTGATTTGTTTCCCTGAGAACTTCTCCTTTGTGGGAGATAAAGAAGGCGAAAGTGTGAAAATTGCTGAACCATTAGACGGGCCAGTGATGCAACGGTATTGCTCTCTCGCCAGGTAAAATATGTTTTTTTTTGCGTAGATTCGCTTTGCTTTGTTTCCTCTGCATTGCTTATACTAATTATGGTCCTGTAACATGTTTTATGTTTGCAGGGATTCAAATATATGGCTTTCTCTTGGAGGTTTCCAAGAGAGATTTGATGATACTCATTTGTGTAATACACATGTTGTGATCGATGATGCTGGAATGATCCGCGACACTTATCAGAAAATGCATTTGTAAACTATTTGACTCTCCTTGGATTATGGAAAACTATTTGTTCATACCTATCACAGATTTTAAATGTTGAGTTTCTTGAGATCCTGTATTTGGTTATAATTACTAAGGGACAACTTCTGTTTTTTGAAGGTTTGATGTTGATGTTCCTGGTGGAAGCTCATACAAGGAAAGCAGCTTTACGGTTCCAGGTAAACTCCATATCTTGTAATCGTCTTGATTAGAATGGTCTTATCTAATCTAATCTTGATAGACTGTCTGAACAATCCGACATTCAAAGTATCTTAGGTCCATTCCGAAAACAACGGTTATGCGTATTGCTTGTGGCATTAAGAAAAGGAAGAAAATAGTTGTTTGTGGAGTGATTCATAACAGCTCAAAATCCGAATTTATTGTTTAATACACATGAAGTATTATCATCACATCATTTGCTGATAATCTCTAAGAGATTCTTTTCTGTGCCACCTTTGTTGTCTTCATACTTAATAAGAGTATAAAACTGATGTATTTCATGTCTTTGAGATAAATCTTTCGATCCTGTATTTTTTCAGGGACAAAGATTGTTTCCGTAGACAGCCCTGTTGGGCGCTTAGGCCTCACTGTATGCTACGATTTGAGGTTTCCTAAGATATATCAGCAACTGAGATTTGAACAGAAAGCTCAGGTAAAATCCATTGTAATTGAATTATTCGGAACCTGTGTTATGTTTGTTTTTTCCTTTATCTTATTGGTATTGTTTAGGAAAAACTCAGTCAAGGAAAGAAATGGTAGAATCACAAACGTTAAAATTATTTGTAATACATGCATTTCGAAACTATGAGGAAAAACAATGAAACAATGATGTGATAAAACTGAGTTCCTCCAGAAAAATTACACAATCTTGGGTGTGAATGGTCTGTCTTAATGGTTGTCCTGTGAACTTGAAATCTCTGCAGGTTTTACTGGTACCGTCAGCTTTCACCAAGGTCACTGGGGAGGCTCACTGGGAGATTCTTCTTCGAGCCCGAGCAATTGAAACACAATGTTATGTATGTCATTACACACTTCTCTCCCTCTTTAACCTCTCATTGCATTTGGGATTAATAGTCTCTTTTCGATTTCCGTTGCTTGGTTAATCGTCAGGTCATAGCTGCTGCTCAAGCTGGAAAGCATAATGAGAAAAGAGAAAGTTATGGTGACACACTGATCATTGATCCGTGGGGAACTGTGGTCGGAAGGTTACCCGGTGAGGATCCTGAAATGATCGAAAGCATCTTCTATATCTAGATTTACGAGACAAAACCTCTCCTGATCAAAATGAAATGATTGATTTTGTTGCTGTTGCAGATCGTGTTTCGACTGGCATTGTCGTGGCAGATATTGATTTTTCACTGATTGACTCGGTGAGAACAAAAATGCCAATAGATAAGGTAAAAAATGCAGACTTGACAAATTCTGTATGGTACAGAACCAAACGGTTAAACAAAAGAAGTCTTATATTACTATCTTCTTTGTTTGCAGCAACGGGTCTCGCTAGATCTCTGATGAACCAATTGGTGTTGCGAAATTTGGAGTCGTAATTTTCTCGTGTAAATTGTAAATGAATTCATTTGAAAAAATGATGTCCCAATAATAAGCTAAGCTAAGAAAATATGTACACAATATTTCTTTAGGCAATATTTGGTTAGGTGTAGATGATCATTGAGCTTAGACAGTAGCTTGTCACATATACTTATGCGTTAATCTCCTAGTGAACAGAGGAGCCCATCTCATGGCTCATAGGTTGGAATCAGTGATGGTGTCTTCGGAAAAGGGCTTCGAATGGCGTTGTTCCTAGGTATTATTATACACAAGTCATCTCAAGGGAGAAGGCCACACCATTGCTTCTGACAATGGTGGACAAAACACCGGTTCACGACCTCAGTTTGATAGTCGGTTTGTCGGTTTCACGCGGTGAATGTACCTAGATTTGTGTCGAACAGTTTCCAAAACAAGCTGATAAAGACCTAATCCCAATCACTAACGGTAGAGCATGTAAGCCCATGAAGTTGAACCAACACATCTACAAACTTTTCGGCCACCGTCAACATTATCGACGTATGACCATAAGTATTGATACTTTAGTATTTCTTCCATAGGTAAAAATGGATCCAAGCTTTAATCGTTATATAGATTTTAAATAAGTAACGCAAAAGAAACAAGAAGTAAAAAAAAGATAACATCTTGACAACATAGATAACTTATTTATTATGAGAGAAAAACATTTCCTCACATTGAGCTAGCAAATTCAATAGCATCTTCTACCACATCCATGATTCTCGATTTCGAATTCACCACTCTACAGTTCAATCTAATTTCTCCTTGTTTCCCTGTTAAAGGTGAAAGACTACTCATTCTTATCATTGCCTTCTCGAACGCATCGAAAAATTTCCCTTGACCATCAGCGTATTCTCGGACTAAAGGGAGAGTGTCTGAAGCATCAGGGCTAGAGAATAACTCTTGGTCGGTCTGGATAAGTCCTTTGTTCTCCTTGAGATTCACATAGTATTTGTTGTCAAAGACTGTTGGTGTACGGAAATCAAAATCTACCAAGACACTCTTGTTTCCATTACGTGGACATTGTTTTCTGAGTGTTGCGAGGTAAGATTTATCAAGGGTTGGGTCGGGTAAACCGGTATCACCGAAGTTGTAAAGGCGATCTATTATGAACTGACATTGGTTTTTGCCAAAGGTGTGACCACCTAACGAAAGAAAAAATATCAAAAGTATAAATAAACAAAACCAATAGTCATGTAGAGTTGTTAGTGATTACAACTATAGATGAAAATGTTTCAAATGAGATAACATACCGGAAAGAGCAACGAGATCAGAAGGACGGTCTAGTCCGACATTTTTGAATCTATCCTTAAGTTCTTGAAGGGTAGAGGATGGACCTGGAAGGTTATTATTAGCAAGATCCATAAACCCTCTTAAGCTGTCTCTTCTTCCATTTGGAACCCTCCATGAAGGACCTCCTGCCTATTGTAAACAATTATATTTGGTCTAAATATTTTAACAAAATGGTACTCTAGAAACCATTTGCATAGCATAGTAAAAGATGCATACCAAAACGACAGATTCTTGAGCTGCGATGGCGAGCATATCGGCACACGAAACGGTTCCAGGACATGCTTTCTCCACGGCGGCTTTCATTTTGTCGATCACATCGAAACCTCGAGCGGAATTAGCGTTCCCAAAGGCGTCTTTCTCCGTCCTAAACGATGTTGTGTTGTCTAACAATATCGATGCATCACATCCCTTTTTCCAAACAAAATATTAGTTACATTGTTAAATCACAACATCTGTATAAACAGTTTATTTAATTTTTGAATTTATATATGAACCAGCTATACTTCCACATACATACTTTACCCGCAACTACTGCATTTTTTTCTTCTCTTTTTACCCTAAGAAAAATAGTAAATCTAGTATCACACAATCACTAGCT